CCCCGCCCCCCAAAGCTTAACAGGCCATAAGGGTAGAGCTGCCTGGAAAATTAGCATCTCTCAGGCAGAAGACAGAAAAACACCACAGCATTATCAGTAAAAGCAGCAAACTCAGTGATGTAGTTTTGGAATGTAGGTGAGATTTGGTGGGGTGAGGTCCAGAGCGAACAACAAAGAAAGAATTCTTGAGACATCTTTGGCACAAAATGGTGGTTTTCTTAAAGCCCGGGGACAGGATCCACAAGGCAGAAAGAGCTGCTGCACCAGGGTTGTGACAGGTGACTGATTATATACTTGGGAGTTGGGAGAGGTAAGGAAAAGGGAGGTTTTAAAAGGATTTTCATATGTTAAAAGACTCACAGGATACCCGAGGCCTTGCCATTGTTAAGGTTGTATTTCCCTCTAGTGAGGCATTAACATTAAGACAGTTGCTAGCTTCCAGGAGGGTGGAAGGGAGGAATGTCACCCATGTCCCACCCAGGGGGGGAGGCGGGTGCAGGGTGTCAGCTTGTGCTTTTCCTCAGCTTGCCTCCTGCTTCCTCATCAGTAGGACAGGAACAGGGGAAAACTCATAGCTCTTCTAGCCTCCGTTTATGGCCCTGGTTGGGGCAAGCAGCAGACCAGCCAGAAATTTAGATGTGAGGTCCTGGAAATAAGAGAGCCATGGAAAGGCTGGAATAATAAGCTCTCCATACATAGGCAGCTGCCTGGAGCACTAATCACATGCACGGGGAGAATGGTGGGAGCCCAGCTGAAACTAAAGCCCAGGCTAATTTGAGAACTGATTGAACTCTGAATGCCTTGCCAGGCTGTGACAATGAAAAATGTCTCCAGGCATGTCCAGATATCCTTTAGCAGGAATGGGGGAGCAATATTGCCCACAGTTGAGAACCACTGCTCCAATTATTAAGGAATAACATTTTTTTAAGTCTTTAAAAATTGAGAGTGGAATTAAAATGGTATAGTAGAAACTTTTTAACATAAGAGATGGCAGTAAATGAGGAACAGAGGAAAAATGACATAAGACTTAAAGAAAATAAATAGCAAAATGACAGATACAAATCCAATGACATTAAGGGGCACTTGGGTGGCTCAGTCGGTTAAACATCTGACTCATGATCTCAGGGTCACGGGATTGAGCCCTTGTGTTGGGCTCAGCGCAGAGTCGGCTTAAGATTCGCTCCCTCTCCCTCTGCCCCTCCCCCCCACTCATGCGCGCGTGCTTGCTCTCTCTCAAAAAAAAAAACAAAAACAAAAAACCAACGACATTAATAATTACATTACTGTAAATGAACTAAACTTTCCAGTCAAAGGTAGAAATTGTGGGAATGTATACAAAACAAGACCTAACTATACACAGCCTGGAAGAGACATGTTTTATTTATTTATTTATTTATTTATTTATTTATTTATTTATTTATTTATTTATTTTTAAGTAAGCTCTACATCCAATGTGGGGCTTAAGCTCACCACCCCATCAAGAGTTGCATGTTCTACTGACTGAGTGAGCCAGGTGCCCCTATAAGAGATATATTGTAGATCTCAAAACATAAACAGATTGAAAGTAAAAAGATCAAAAAAGATATGCCATACAAATAGTAATTGTAAGAGAACTTAAATAGCTATATTAATCGACTTTAAGAATACAAATATTATTAGAGACAAATAGAGACATTTTATAATGTCATTACATCTTTAGAAGGTATAAAATTTATTATGTACATGCACCTAACAACTGACCCCCAAAATAACAGGAAACAAAATGAACAGAACTGAAAGGAAAAATAGACTACTCAAGAATTATAGCTGGAGTGTTCCTCTCTTGAGTACTGATAAAGCAGAAGATTAGTAACATAAGTAGACTTGAACATTATCAACCAACTTGACCTGAGAGGTACAGAACACTCTACTCAACAAACAGAATAACTTTCTTTAAAAAAAAAAAAAGATTTTTATTTATTTATTGGTCAGAGAGAGAGCACAAGCAGGGGGAACGGCAGGCAGATGGAGAAGCAGGCTCCCCACTGAGCAAGGAGCTTTAAATGGGGCTCAATCCCAGTACCTGGGATCATGACCTGAGCTCAAGGCAGATGCTTAACTGACTGAGCCACCCAGGCGTCCCCAGAACAACTTTCTTTTCAAGCACACATGAAACATTCTTTAGAATAAACAATATACTAGGCCATAAACAAATCTCAGTAAAATTTAAAAGATTGAAGTCATACAAAGATTGTTCTACAACGAGAGGAATTAAATTGGAATTCAACAACAACAAAAAATTTGAAAGTCCCCCAAATATTTGGAAATTAAACAAGACACATCTGAATAATGCTTAGGTCAAAGGAAAAAATCACGTGAGAAATTAGAAAAGATATGGGTCGAATGAAATGAAAACAAAATTTATAGGATGCAGCTAAAGCTGTGCTTAGAGGGAGTTTTATAGCTTTTCATGTGCTCAATATCATTAATCATTAGTGAAATGCAAATTAAAAACATAAAGGGGTACCACTGCATGCATAGTGGTATGGCTATAATCCAAAAGACTGACAACGCTAAGGGTCGGTGAAGGTATGGAGAAAACAGAACTCTCATACATTTCCAGTGGGAGTGTATAATGATATAACATCTTTGGAGAACAGTTTGGCAGTTTCTTAAAAAGTTAAACGTATCATATGATACAGCCGCTCCACTTCCAGGTATCTCCTCAAGAGAAATGAAAGCATGTGTTCACATGAAGGTTACTTACTTCACAGTAGCATTATCTATATTAGTTCCAAACTGGAGGGAATCCAAATGTCCATCACTGGTGAATGGATAAAATGTGGTATAGCCATATTATAGAATACAATTCAGCAATAAAAAAGAATGAACTCTTGAGTTATGCAGCAACATGGATAAGCCCAAAAACATTATTCTAAGTAAAAAAAAAAAAAAAGCCAGCCACAAAAAACTACATGTTGTATGATTCTATTTATATAGAATTTCTAGAAAAGATAAATCTATAGAGACAGAAAGTAAATCAGTGGAAGTGGGAACTGAGTTCAGGCACAAGGGAACATTTTGGATGAAGAAAATTTTTTCATTACTGGATTGTGTGATAATGTGATAATTTTTTCATTACTGGATTGTGTGATAATATAAAACATTATTGAACTGTACACTTACATAAAATTCAATAAGTGAACTCTGTAAATTATACCTCAACAAAACTATTTTAAAACCAAGTTAAGTATCTCCATCCTGCAAAAGAAACAACCCGAAGACCAAAGCTGATTGAGTCTAAGAAATGTCTCCAAACTCTTCTCAATTCTCTGCTGTTAAGAGATGCCTGGGTACCTAAGAAGAGGAGAATTCCTAGAGTCTTCCTAGAGACATCCCAATCATATGACCCATAGATTCAGAAGTGTAATTATTAAACCTGTCAAACACCAAAGACTATAAAGGAAGAAGCCGTTGCTGAAGATCCCCCCAAAAGAATTGACTTATTCTGTGTGGCAGAGACTGTAAGTTTTCCCACAATATGCATTTGCCCCTTTGTCCACAATAACTGGATTTTTAGCTGAATGCATGGCTACTCAGAATGAGAACCACAGTTTCAGCCTGCCTTGCAGTTGGGTCTGACAATGTGACTAAGTTCTGGCCAATGTATGTGAGCACAAGCAAGATGTGCAAAACATCTGTGCTTTGCCCTTACAGGATAGAGCCCTGTCCTTTTCCCCATTCCAGCTGTCTAGAGCCATCTTGGACTGTAGGATAGCAGAGCAGGAAGACTGAAAAAATATGAGCCCCTGACAAATCAATAGAGAGGAGATACCATACCATGCCAGGTTTTTCCACCAGGGAAGAAAGAAATCCACTGTTAATTTGGGTGTCTGTGACATGTAGCTGAAACTATATCCTGCAATAAGAATATGATCTGTTGTATACAATCCAGAAGCTATAGAGTGTGGCAGTTATTTCCAAATGCATCTATTAACCAGTCAGAAGTAACAAAGAACAAGAGGGAGGGAGGGAGGAGGGAAAGGGAAGAGAGAGTGGGGGCGGGGGAGAGATTTCTATCCAACATTGCTATCTGGAGCATTTTCTTGCTGAGCAACAAGGAGACCAGTATAAACCTAGGGAGGACGGTTAGGATGGGCAAACTTCTCTTTCTTCATGTAAAGGAGAACGGAAGCCATTGTGAGAAATCCCAGGAGCTACTGAAGCCATTCTGCTATGGGAGTGGAGGTTCTTTCAGGCTCCTGGCTCCAGATGGGAGCCCGGAGCTCATGAAAAGCCCCTCTAAGGAGGCACCTTAGGTCCTCCTTGTCTGTCTTTTGGTAACTTATCCTCTCTCCTTGTTTTCCCAGGTGCCTATTCCTGCAGCCGCTTGTCAATGGTGTCCTTCTTTTTCTAGTTCACTGTAAAACTCTGCTGGACACTGCCAGTAGACCGAGGTCCAAAGTCCAAGAAATTAGGTGGATTCAGAATGGACAAATGAAATGTGGGAAAGACCAGGAAAAGAAACACCTTCTTCCAGAAACTGCCATGGCTTCCCATTGCACAGAAGACAGAATACTCATTCTCTAGCTTGGCCTGTGACTCACTCACCAGGTCCATTATCTGACTCTATCTCTCCATTTCAAAATTTTTCATGTACATTACCTCAGGGATGCTTTATCACAGCCATACTTTACTGGGAAAAATATTGGATCACTGAGGGGTTAGATGACTTAGCTAAGGTCACACGAAATGGAGCCAGAATGTTTTGCAGGTATCCAGACTCCAACTCCCAAATGCTCCATTGCACCAGCCTGTGTGGGAGCTATGGGCGAAGACCTTGAATGTGGACAAGCAAGACCCATTCAAAAATGTTCCAATGATCTGGGGATGAAAGCGAACTTCTTTAAACAGGACATGGGGTCTATAAAATAATTTGATAAAATTATGAAGTGCTATACAAAGATTACTTATTATTTTTTACTTATATGAAGCATGTTTATATACCTATGGCTACATACCATAGAGTATGACTAAGTAGAATTAGATGTTGTCTTGGATCCAGATCATTGTTCTTTTCTGTCAAAATAGATAATTAAGAGCAAATTTTATAACTGAATAATGCCTCTCTCTTATTTAGTAGGCTGGTATCATCTTCGCATGGGACCAGTACTTGGCAGAGGACATCTAGGTGAAGAGAAATATATCTATGTCATACCTCCTTCCTCACACACTCCTTCACCCACTGGGCAGCCACAGAGATGCTTTCTGTCTTGGTGACATCCAGGATCACCATCTCCAGCCTGTCTGACGTCTGGCCTCTCAGCTGCTGGGCTCCCTCCTCCGTCAGACACGCGGCCAGCACCCTCAAGCCTCGCAGGTCCAGCTGCCTGGCCAGCAGGTTCCCTAAGCCCGAGTCACACATCATAATTAAGTCATTATTGTCTTGGAGGTGGCCAACCCATCACCTGCCTTTCCTGGTACTGGTGCAGAAGATGGTAGAGCCCCCCCCCCGCCCTGGGAGCGGGGGGAGGTGGCAGGGGGAGGGTGCTCCTCATTCTTCAGTAGAAGGGGAAATTCAGACTTCTCCTTTCCTGGCAAACTTAGAAGAGTTGGCATTTCTGTCCTTATTTTGAAGGCCTCTTAATATTACACAAGACAGTGGATTACACAAGATTTCTAAGGAGAGTCTCAATTCTGCCTTTGAAGTTGTTTGCTTCCAGTTCATTTTCATATCCTGGTTGAAACTTGTCCCTGACTATTAAAAAAAAAAAACAAAACACAAACAATTTTAAAAATCCTTATACTTCCTGCTCCTCTGTCAGACATTCCCAAAGGAACATTTCATTTGTTATTCCAAGTTTGGCATTAGAATTCTCTGTATCCATTTGTTCTGGTCCAGATGCAGTATTTACACTTTTGTTGTTCAAGAATGTCTCAAATGGTCTGGCCAGGCTACAGTTCAGCGACCAGCCAGCCCCATGATGCTCCAGATTGTGCTCTCTCCTTCCCCCTCCCCCAGTTTCTGGGTTGAGGTTCGCTGGAGATCAGAGAGCTTGCCAAGCCTCAGGGGAAAAGCAGGCACCTCCCATAGAAGAGGAGGCCTATGGATGACAGAGGCCTCTCAGCCTTCACAGGGAAAGAGCTGGAAGAGCGGCCCAAGCAAGGCTGGTTAGGAGAGGTTTCTGAAGGCCCATGGGAATAGAAGAAAGCCACATCACAGCTGCTGGCTAGAAAACCCTGCTGCAAATGTGTGTGTACAGAAATGTTCCCTGGGAGGAAACAAGCAATGACACCTTCAAAGATAGGATTTTAGAACTAGAAGGACCTGCTCTGTCAGTTGCTTATAGGGTATGTAATTATTCTCTCTGGGCCTCTAGTTTCCTCCTCATTAAAGCTGGAATAATAACTATGAAGGTTCTCGTGAAGATTAAAGTGCTTACAACAGTGCCTGGCAGGTAGGAAGCACTATGTAAGTGTGTGCTCTTGTGTGGGGGCTGGAATCCTGACTGCCACTTATTAGCTATGTAATTCTGTACAAATGACTTAACCTCTCCGAACCTTAGTTCTATAAAATAGGGGCAACCTCACAGGGCTTGTTACAGAGATTACATTAAAATTAAAACACTAAACACTCGGGCGCCTGGGTGGCTCAGTCGGTTAAGCGTCTGCCTTCGGCTCAGGTCATGATCCCAGGGTCCTGGGATTGAGTCCTGCATCGGGCTCCCTGCTAGGGGGGGAGCCTGCTTCTCCCTCTGCCTCTGTCTCTCTCTCTCTCTCTGACTCTCATGAATAAATAAATAAAACATTTTAAAAAATGTTTAAAAAAAATAAAACACTAAACACTTAAAACATTCAGTCCTTGGGATTAAGTAATGTCTGATAAATGCTAATTATTTCTATTTCTATTATCTTATTGGTACATTTCTCTCATCATCTCTACTCTTGCTCCTCCTGTATCCCTCCAACCAGGTTCATTCCAACTAATTCCTTAATGGCAGCAAAAGTGATCTTCTTTAAAAATAAGTAGCTTCAAGGGGAACCCTCTTACATGGTTGGTGGGAATGCCAACTGGTGCAGTCACTGTGGAAAACAGTATGGAGGTTCCTCACAAAGTTAAAAATAAAGCTGCCCCACGACCCAGCAATTGCACTACCAGGTATTTATCCAAAGGATACAAAAATAGTGATTTGGAGGGGCACATGCACCCCAATGTTTATAGCAGCAATGTCCACAATAGCCAAAATACAGAAAGAGCTTAGATGTCCATCGACAGATGAATGGATAAAGAAGATGTGGTATATACACACAATGGAATATTACTCAGCTATCAAAAAGAATGAAATCTTGGTCCCCGGGAAGTGGAGCCCTGGACTTCCACTTGTGCGTGAGGTGAGTGGAGCCAGAGTGGAGACCAGAGGCCGAACTCGGGATCTGACAAGATGGCCAGGCTGCCCCGCAGGATTATCAAGGAAACCCAGTGTTTGCTGGCAGAACCTGTTCCCAGCAGTAAAGCGGAACCAGATGAGAGCAATGCCCGTTATTTTCATGTGGTCATTGCTGGCCCCCAGGATTCCCCCGAAATTTTCCTACTAGAAGAATGCCCGATGGCAGCCCCTAAAGTATATTTCATGACCAAAATTTATCATCCTAATGTAGACAAGTTGGGAAGAATATGTTTAGATATTTTGAAAGATAACTGCTCCCCAGCACTGCACATCCACGCAGTTCTGCTATCTATCTAGGCCTTTTTAAGTGCTCCCAATCCAGAGGATCCATTAGCAAATGATGTAGCAGAGCAGTGGAAGACCAACGAAGCCCAAGCCATAGAAACAGCTAGAGCATGGCCTGGGCTATATGCCATGAATAATATTTAAAATCGAGCTGATCATCAATTGTGCATCACTTTTGTTCTGCCAAGACTTCTTGCTTTTTTGTTTGCATTTAATGGACACAGTCTTAGAAACATTATAGAATAAAAGCCCAGACATCTTCAGTCCTTTGGTGATTAAATGCACATTAGCAAATCTATGTCTTGTCCTGATTACTGTTGTAAAGCATGAGCAGAGGCTAGAAGTACCATCTGGATTGTTGTGAAACATTTGAAAGCAGTGGCCCTTCTCTGCTTTTATTCATTTCCCCCATCATGGTTTGAGTATAAAGCACTGTGAATGAAGGTAGTTGTCACGGTTAGCTGCAGGGGTGTGGCTGTTTTTCTTTCTTTATTTTTTTGAGGGGGAAAGGTAGTTTTATTTTAATTTTATGGGCTCCTCTGCCCCTTTTTATGGTGATCTAATTGAATTGGTTAAAAACAGATAACCCGTTCTTTAGAATATGCTCTCTAGCCAAGTCTAACTTTATTTAGGTGCTGTAGATGGACAAGCTTGATTGTTTGAACCAAAATGGGAACATTAAACAAACATCACAGCCCTCACTAATAACATTGTGACTTTGTTGTCAAGTGTGGAATCCTTCCTTCAAGAAAAAGCTTGTGACCATTTTGTATGGCTTGTCTGGAAACTTCTGTAAATCTTATGTTTTAGTAAAATATTTTTTGTTATTCTAAAAAAAAAAAAAAGAAATCTTGCCATTTGCGGTGGCTCAGTCAGTTAAGGGTCTCCCTTCAGCTCAGATCATGATACCCGGGTCCTGGGATAGAGCCCTGAATAGGACTCCCTGCTCAGCAGGAAGTCTGCTTCTCCCTCTGCCCCTCCTCCTGCTTGTGCTCTCCCTCTCATGCCTCCCCCCTCTCAAATAAATAAATAAAATCTTAAAAAGAAAAATAAATCTTGCCATTTGCAATGATGTGAATGGAACTAGAGGGTATTATGCTAAGTGAAATAAGTCAGAGAAGGGGAGCCCGGGTGGCTCAGTTGATTGAGCGTCTGCCTTTGGCTCAGATCATGATACTGGAGTCCCAGGATCCGGCTCCCTGCTCAGCAGAGAGTCCGCATCTCTCTCTGACCCTCCCCCCTCTCGTGCTCCCTCTCTCACACTCTCTCTCTCTAAAAAAAGAGAAAGAAGTCAGAGAAAGACAAACACAATAAGATTTCACTCATATGTGGAATTTAAGAAATAAAACAGATGAACATAGGGGAAGGGAAAGAAAAATAAAATATAAAAACAGACGGAGGCACACCATAAGAGACTCTAAACTATAGGAAACAAATTGAGGGGAGGGGAGGTGGGTGGGGGATGCGGGAACTGAGTGATGGACATTATTTTTTTTAAAGATTTAATTTATTTATTTGAGAAGGAGAATGAGCAAGAGAGAAAGCATGAGCTGGGGAAGGAGCAGAGGGAGAGGGAGAAGCAGACTCCTGTCTGAGCAGGGAGCCTGATGTGGGGCTCAATCTGGGGACTCCAAGATCACACCCTGAGTTGAAGGCAGACGCTTAACCAACCGAGGCACCCAGGCGCCCTGGTGATGGGCATTATTAAGGAGGGCACTTGATGTAATGAGCACTGGGTGTTATATGCAACCGATGAATCACTAAATTCAACCCCTAAAACTAATAATACACTATATGTTAACTAAATTGAATGTAAATAAAACTTTTTAAAAAAGAAATGAAAAAAAAATAAGTAGCTTCAAAACAGATCTGTAGAGACACCAAGCACATCAGTGGTTGTCTGGAACCTGGGCAGAAACCAATGTTATTGAAAAGAGGGAAGATTAACTGCAAAGAGGCACCAGGGAGCTTTTTGAGATGAGAGAAATGTCCTATATCTTGACTAATGATGGTTGCACAGGTATATTTATAAGTCAAAACTCATCAAACTTTATAGTTAAAAGATGCATTTTGTTTAATATAAATTTTACCTCAATAACATTGGATTAAAAAGAAAGGTAAACAACCTCCCTGGTCTTCTATTACATTACTAAATTTTCTCTGCTTAATGGCATTTATCAGTTTATAAAATTATTTCCTTAATTTTTTTATTTGTCTATTGCCCAACACCTCCACCCCATCAGAATATAAACTGCTTGGAGGAGTCTTGTCTACTACTCTAACTCCAGCATCTAGAACTACACCTGGCACATAGTAGGAGCACAATAGAGTTTTTTTTGACAGAGTAACTGGTTAAAATCCTTCAATGGTTCTGCCTCCAAATTATATACTGATTTCATCCACTCTCATCATCCCCATTACCACCACTTTAACCTAAAGTACCATCATTTCTTGCTTGGATTATGCAATGGACCCCTTGCTTCCACCATTGCTCCCTCATTTCAGTCTCCACAGAACCCCTTTTCAAAATTTAAATCAGATCATATTACTTCCCTGCTTGAAATCAAAACAAAACAAAACAAAAAAAAGTGTGGAGATAATTTGATTAAGAGGCTGAATAAGTGAATAAGAAAAGGCAATTTAAAACTTCAGGAAAGTACAAAAGCTATACAAGAAAAGTTATATTCCAAATATGAAAGAAACTAAACTGTAAAATTCAGTCCACGAATTTAAAAAAAGCAAACAAACACCTTAACTGTTAACGATAGGGTGGTGATAGGGGGATAGCCCTTAGAGCAAAAAATCAAGTCTTCTATCTGCACAGGTTGCCTCTTAAATGTCTGCCATTCCAGTCTACATGCTCTTTATAGCTGGTGAATCTCTCCTGCCTTCCTGCGATGGTGGGACACAGGTGTCTTATAGGAAGTCGCCCAGGGTCTCATCTACCTAAACACACAATGCAGCTGTCACCCTTTTGAGTCTTGCCACCTCCCCTAGGTGCTTCCACAAAGTGAATGGCCC